TAATCAGAAATAAGATCTAACATATTCAATAGAGGCTTCCTCCAGTTAAGTGATATAATAGGATTGAAACATACTTTTTATATGAAGTGGGGGCAGAATACCTTGTATTCTTTCCTTTAAAAAAAAACCAAAATTATTAACCAGAGTGAACATAAAGCCTTGTAGGAAATATTAGCTTCCGATTTCTTTCATTCCTTCAATTGAATAGGGTTAGGGTTAGGGTTTGAATAGATAATTTGAATAGTACAGTATTACATACATGGTGTGCATGTATGTAAGAAAAACAGATACATTTTGTTTTTTTACATAGCTGTGAAAAAGTTGTAGAGATATTTTCAGGGCCCTCACCCCCACATACGCTTCAGATTTCTGTAACAATATTTTTTTCAGTTGTTGAGCACTGTATTTAAAAAGAGCTACTTGATGCTATTCCATGAAACCTATATAACATATACAAAGCCACGTATGACCTCAAAGGAAGAGTAGCTCAATGTACAGTTTATACAAAATCCCAGTTTATTAATACTTAGGCTATACTGTACAACCAAGTCAGAAACATTTTACATATTTTTTTAAAAAAATTGCACTGAAAATAATGCTAAAAGGGCCAATAACCTTGTTTCTAACGCCCACCTATGAATTCAGCCAATACTTGTACATTGATCTGTGGGTTGAAGCTACTTTGCTTATGACAACAAAGCTCAATAATGCAATATCGACGGATTAACAACCACAGCAGTGGAGACACTGCTGCCATTTTCATTTTTTTTTAAATTTAAAACTTTGGATCCTCCCAGATGTAAAACATGGCCTCTTCCACTGAACTCTGATGATTTTAGGAGGTGGATCCCTCACACCTGCACAAAGACACACTGATTTCACCATAAGCAGCACCTTCAGAAATCCTTTCTTTCACACAACTATTATATATACAGAAATCCACAGTATCTTCCTTTGCAACTGATTGATCTTAAGTGGAAAAGACAGATGTACGTCCCAAGTAATTAATATGGGGAACTTCCTTTCAGGTTAGGATGAAGCTTGAATTTCTCATAAAATTGAAGACAACCAGTCCAGATATAAAATAGCATCTATGCTTATTGGCATCTCTACATTTTATATTGACTCAAATTAAAACATACACATACATACACAAACACAAAATAGCAATTAATGCTGTAATAAAATACATTCATTTAATACAAATAATACTTTCCATGGATGGACATGGATTTGCAGTCAGTGGACACCATTTAAAATGAAAGGACACATAATGGTTACACAAAGATTTTAAGTGTGGACATTTGCTGAAGTTGCAGAATGGCCCAATCTTCTTTCTTTGTTCATTTCTTAGAAGTCTTATTATCTGTGATTCATCTTTCAGCCTAAACTATATCTCAGAAATAAATACATAAAATGTTGCACACTGAGGTAAACCTCTAACCAGAAGAAATGTACGGTCACAGCAGACAACTAATAAAGTTGTTAACTAAACGTGTGACACTATGAGAAAGAAATAGTCCATGCTAGGGATTAAAATAAAACTATCGAATTGTAAAGCCCTTACACAAAGGGTTCATTCGTATTTATAATGCAGTGTACACTTCTGGCTACATTTCGAAAAAGGCATAATGCAACTGGAAAAATTGCATTGTAGGAGAGGGCAACAAAAGAGACTGAGTTTCAATATCTTCCTTAGAAGATGATTATGAGAAATGAATAGCAATAGCACTTAGATTTATATACCACTTCCTGGTGCTTTACAGCACTCTCTAAGCAGTTTACAATGTCAGCATATTGCCCCCCAATACTCTGGGTCCTCATTTTACTGACCTCAGAAGAATGAAAGGCTGAGTCAACCTTGAGCTGGTCAGGATCGAACTCCTGGCAGAGGGCAGAGTTAATCTGCAATACTGTGTTCTAACCACTGTGCCATTACAAATAAACAATTTACATAGCAAAAGAAAATAGGAAATTTTGTATGCTGTGAAGAAAATAAACAGGAAAATATGTATCCTTCGCAAAGAACATTAGGATTCAGAAAAATCATCCTAAGAACTTGATTGGAAGGAGAGGAAAAACAAAATATTTCATCACACAGCACATAATTAACCTGGTTGAATTCATTAACACTAGAGAGGGCAATGGCCATTAATTCAAATGGCTTTAAAAAAGAAAAGGATAAATTCACAGAGAATTGGTCTATTAATTTTGAAGAGCTATAGAACAACCTATCTCAAACTATTAGTTGCAGACCAACAGTAGTAAACAGGTATGGCTCCATCTCCTGCTTGCAAGCACCCCATGTTCAGCTGTTTGATCAATGGGGGGCAGGAGGAAGAAGAAGGAAAAATATGTATCCTACACTAAGATAAGGGAGGTCCTACAACAAAGTTGACTGGAAGAAAATTAAGGTCTCCAGCAGAGCCATTCTTATGATTACCAGGAGCAGAAATGGGACATGGCTGACGGTTAAAACTGTGTATATAAAGCTGCTGTTAAAGTTATTAAAATGCAATTCGTTACTGAAAGCAGCATATTTATCAGCTTTTTTTAAAAGTTCAAATGACACATCTATTAAGTTCAAACAGCCCCAGTCTAATTCACACGTATCACAGTCTCACTAATTCCTTGAGGATTCAACTACAACCAGGAGTATGGGGCTATCTTCCTCAGAGTAACCCACAGCAGTCTCCAGCACCTAATTCCCATTGGCTTTCCACTGATGATTAAGTGCCAAAGAGAAACACCCACCTGAACAACTCTTGAGATAAAATCCCAGCCCCGGTTCTCTTTCTATTACTCAGAATATACTAGCACATTTCCTTCCCTGGACAAGGGAGTTAATTAAATAAGACTGTCAATCCAATATAGCAAGAACTTTGTTTCGGGGGTTCAGGAGTTTTACCTTGGGGGGGGACAATTTGAAGATATTTCTCTCCTTCCCCACTCATACTCCCATTCAAAGGCTGATCCAAGTGTCTACTTTTCAAAGGTATATAGAGCTTGAATATTCCTAACAACCCTAAGTTGCCTCAGGGAAAACCAACATACAACATTCTCCCAGAGAGGAAATATTTTCAAAGGACACCATGTGTCTTAGACCAACAGCTGGACCCCCAACCAATACTCCATTTCCCCTTTAGACCAACTCGTTCTCACTCTCCTCCTTCTGTCTGGAGACAAGCAAGCAGAGCTATCCCCCACGTGTCAGCCTTCAAGGGGCTCAGGCCTCCATTTTGCCAAAGCTCCTAAGACGACGAGGTGACATTACCGGAGGACACAATTGTTTCTGGAGGATCCCCCTCATCTTTCTGAGGATGGGAGGAATTGTCAGATTTGCTTCGACTGAATTCTATCCCTCCAATGATGGGTCTCTTGACTTTGGCCCCAGAGTCTGTGGTGGGACACGTACAGCACCGTACAATCTTGAAAAAGGCCCTCCGCATCTCCTTGTTGGTAAGCGTGTAGATGATTGGATTGGTGGCTGAGTTCAGAACTGCTAGTACTAAGAAATATTCAGCCTTGAAGAGGATGGGGCAAGACTTGACTTTGCATCTCACGTCCAGCAACAAAAGAATGAACAAGGGAGTCCAGCAGACAATGAAGACGCTTAAAACAATAATCACCGTCTTCAGCAGAGCCAGTGACTTCTCTGAGCTCCGGGTTGCTTTGGCCACGTTCTTCCGAAAAGTCAGCCTACGGCTCCTTGTCCTTACCAAGATGTAGATCCTACAGTAAAGGATCACAACGGCCAGTAAGAGGCCAGTAAATATACTGGTGCAAAAAAGGATATAATGCTTATGATAAAGAGGCAACACTGTGGAGCAATTCTCCAGGAAGCCAATGCAGTTCCATCCCATAATAGGGAGACCCCCTAATATCACAGAGATGACCCAACAGGCGCTGATAAGCAGGAAGGAACGGAAACTATTACTGCCATTATGGAGCTTCATTTTCAACATGGTGATATATCGCTCAATGGCAATAGCTAGCAGGCTGAAGACCGAAGCAGACAAAGCCACAAACATGCTTCCTTCTCTAAGAAACCATTGGGCAGGGGTGAGGCTGTAAGTCGTGGAGCCGGACAGTAGGATGTTAGCGATGTATGCCACTCCTGCCAGCAGATCTGAGAGTGCCAAGTTACCAATAAAGTAGTACATTGGCCTGTGGAATTTCTTGGTTTTCCAAATAGTCAGCAGAACAAAGATGTTCTCGAGGATGATGAAACAGCAGATAATGATGAAAACCACCGATGTTGCTTTGATCCCACTTTCGGCATTCTCATTGAGCTTCCCTGTGTAGTTGTAATGCTTGCTGATGATTTCATAGTTGAGGTAGTCACCGACGTCTCTCCGGACCTTCATGTGGGGGGCCCTGGCAGAGTCCATGGTTCCAGCCTGGACTGCAGGTTTCCAAGCAACTGGTGAGAGGTGGTGTAGAATGACAGTCACTTGCTGCCCTTCCTACTATGTCCAATGTCTGCAGTTCCTACGGCCAGTATCTCCTCTTAGATAACCTCAGAAACCAGGACCCTTAAAAATTAAGGGAGACAAAGCAAAAGACTATTAGTTAAAGAGCCTTTGATTTAACCCACCATAACTCAAAATCCAACAAGCTGAAATCCCAACATCAACTGTTGCAAGGGTGTTGCAGTCTTAGTTGTGCAGAAGGAAAGACTATGAAGAAACAGCGGTTTGATTCAATGCTATGCACCGATCCTCCTGCTGTGTAACTGACTGGTTACACTAACTATTCACATGGACTGCAAATATAATAAGAGCTTTTATAAATTTATCACCTAAGTTTACTACACTGGCTAAGAAAAGCTGTCCTATGATATAGCACAGGTTAAGTGTTAGAATGTACAAACAGCAGCAGTCACAGCCCAGACACTGGGTATAGTCATACATTAATGCTTGTAATTATGAGGATCCAATATTTATTTCTACTGTACACCACAAATTGTTCTGATTTTTACAATGGTGACTAAATTATACCACAGCAGGTGGCAGCACCTAGCTATGCTTGGCTGATTTTGAGAAAGCAAAGCTAGCTGGACCTGGATAATAATTAGATAGGATACCATCAGGAAACCCTTGGAGTGCAGACTTAACTGGGAAGTCAAAGAAAACAAACAATCCAAAACCACAAGTAGGAAACAGCAAACCGTTTCTGTACTTCGGCCAAGCAAAGCATATGGATATGCTCCTGTAGTCATCAAATTCAAACTCATCTCAAGACAGACATTCCCTTCTCGGCCAAATTATGCAGTCTGCAACCATAACATTATTTTTTTAAAAAAAAAAAGTCAGCCAGGACCAGACAAATGAAATCTTTTTCATGCCCACTGATCTCGCTGAACAGAAAAACCAGAGTGCCAACCGCAATTCAAACGCATGGAATTAAATCCCAGCTTTGAAAGGCAGAGCTTAAAAACAATGAAAGGAAATAGGAATCATTTCTGAGGCAAGAAGCTCCCACCTAATTCCACGTCAACTTCAGTTTACAAGTCACAATGCAACTTATTCCTCCTCTCCATGCATACACCAGGGAAACTAACCCCAACATCACTGTTCATAGCCAAGTAGGAAATTCTTTCTCACTCTTCAGGTGCAACGCACATCAATTTCAAGACCTTAGGATACCTGTCCCTGAAGCAGCCTGAACAATTTTAAGAAACTTCTTTCTTCAGGTGACTGAAATAATGGAGAGAACATTGTTTTGGTTGGTTCCACATAAACAAAAGAAACAAGTTAAGCTTCAAAAAGACTCACTTGTATAGGAGAGGCTTAGAAAAAGGTCATCTTTGAACAATGGACTAATTGTATCAGTTAAAAATAAAGATGACCATTAAAATGGAGAGACTATTTTTCACCCATTTTCCCCCCATCACAAATTTCAGATCTTTGGAATAAACTCAGCAAAAACCTTGAGGACAAAAAGAAAAGCACTTGAACTTTTATAATTGGGAGCAGAGAGAGAGAAAAAAGGCTGATTTTGGGCTATAGCCTAGTATGTAGTTTGGAGGCTCATTTTCAACCACTTAATTAGTTTGCACATGGCATTACTAGATGAAAGAAAGTGCATGGAAATATATGTGTAAACATTCGTGTTGTTTACACTAAGTATTTAACATAGCAGATCAGTCCAACACAGAAAGCAAAGTTAAAACTTTCACTGGGTGCAGATGTTTTAGGTTAGAAGAGAATGAAAGTTACCATTGTTAGAAGTTTTTACAGCTTATTCTTTCCTCACTATGAGCCAGGATAAATTGAAAAAAAACAGACTCTTCAAAGAAACATGCTGGACTTCCTGATGGATGTTCAATTCACATATAAATCTTTGACTTTAACACACACCATGCCAGTCTTTATGCCATATGTAAATCGTACCTACCTGCTTAAATAGCTGGGTTACCTAGCACAGAAATGGCATGCATGTATCGTGTTCTGTGTAAGGTAACCCAGCTATTCCACAGAACAGGGCAGATACATGTCATTTCTGTGTTTGGCAGGTCACAAACATTTCACCATTTACATTTGTCCACTTTTTGCCCCCAGATGTAGAACATCTGTTCTGAATAGGGCTGTGAACCAGCCGCAAAAGTTTCCTCTCTGCCCAACCATTCCCTTCCCAACCTCCTCTCTGGGAAGCAAGAGACATGGGTACCCATATAAGCTCAGAAAACATTCAAAAATGTGGCTAATAAGAAAAGGAGCAGATAGGAATCATGTCAACCCACCACCTTTTCTTCCAAAGCATCAACCGTTTTGTTAAACTATGTGCTGGTTTACTTTTTTAAGATTATATATATATATATATATATATTTATATTTATATTTATATTTATATATTTATTTTAAGGCAGCAGAGAAGGTCCTGTGTGGATAGTAACTATGTCCCCAAAGCACTTTGTTTTGAACTTCAGCTGAAGGCAGACATACCTCAATGTCCCTCCTTAAACCTCTGCACAAGACTTTTGAGGGGAATTTAATTAACTACAGGCTGAAAGACCTCTTAAGAATGATCAGGTCATCAAGCTGACTGAAACCCAGCTTTCTGCAACCAAGTTCTGTTTAAAACAGATTAGTCCTCCAGTGTAAAAAACTGAAACTTTTGTGGTACAGAGAAGCCAGAATCAAAAAGGGAGGGGGGAAACGACTGATTTCCAGCCCAAACCTGGCAAAGCTGTAATCTCTAACGCAGAAATTAAGTCCTGATCTATGGATCCTCCAAAACAGCCTGCTTTTAAGTCACGTTCCTTCAACACCTCTTCCAAAACTGCCTGTTTCCAGTTCCTCTGGAAGAAGAGGCAATCTGAAGGCTTCTTGAGCTTGCCTCTTCTCCTCCATCCCCAGGTAGTATGCACAGCATGCAAATCAAGAGGGTTTTCTAATAACATCAAATATTCACATGCAACTTTCACCAAAAGGAAACATCTCTGCAAGGCACATTCATTCTGGTCGAAGACCAGAACATGTCTATCCCACAGATTTTACCCAATGGCTCGTATTCTAGGCTGGTAGTATCTGCACCATCATCAGACAATAGGGGCAAAAATGCATGTTGGAGTTATTTTGCTGCCCCCCCACACACACACACACACAAACCTTCCATTCCTGTTAGCTTCAACATTGTTTTTTCACCTTTTTAGCTGTATTATTCCACCGCTACGCGCACGAATCCAGGCAGCAACATTCCCAGGAGATTCCAAGTTAAACTTCCAGGGCTGCATGTTTTTACTAAGCGCGTTCATTCCCTGCTGCCCTCTGCAACAACACTAGATAAGAACCCGGCATACGAGGCAAAAAAACCAAAAACTTTCCCAAATCAGACGCCCCCCATAAAGTTAGCTGGTAGTTCAAGCGCAAGGCTCCTCCGTTTCCCCGCGGTTCGGCGGTTAGGAGCAAAAAATAAATAAAAAATACAGTTGTGAGGGAATTTCGCCCGGTTCGCAGTGCGCGCGCGCGCAGACTCCTCCAAGGAAGTTTGCTGGGACAGGTTTAATACGAATATAAGCTTTTCCGCCACTTCGCCCCGATTCCTGATAAAATATCCGGTGGAAGTTCCCAGGGAAAAAAAAAATGAGTGTGTGTGGGGGGGTGGGGGGAATGGGCAAGTGTCAACGCGGGCAGTGAAGGCTGCGCCCCTATGGAAGTCAAGTCTAACCAAACAAAGCCGGAATTCCAGCTCAAGGGACACGTACTGGGTAAAACCACGACTTCAATCTCCACGGTTGGATCCTGCGAGGCACCGTTTCCCAGGGAGTTTTTGCATCCAACAGCACAAGGACGTATTCAAAACTCTCGCCACCCGGACTCCTTGCTGCGGGTCGCCTTTCCCACTTGGCGACTTGCAAAGCGTCCCCGGAAGGCGGAACGCAACGAAGCGCTTCACTCCCGCTTGTTAAAAAAATAATAATTTTTTTTAAAAATCCTGCCCGGATTCCTGCAAAAAAAAGCCGGCGCGCTCCCTCGCTCCGCTCTTACCTCGCTCGCCCGGGACGCCGTTCTCGGTGGAGGGGGAGGATGCATGGCTCTCACCCTTCACCTCGAGCCAGGCCCACCCGTCGCCCCCCTTGCCTAACAAAAGCGGGGCTGCCTCCCGGGCTCATTGGAAGCGTTTTCCTTCCCAGCGTCGTCTGAGTTCTCCCCCTTCCCCTCCCCCCTCCCCCTCCCTATATTCCCATTTCTCGCGCGCGGCCGAGGCGACTTTCACTCGGGTTTAGTTTTCTCCTCCTTGCCCGGTCTGGAGAAGAGGTAATCTGGCCGCACCGATTTCATCAAGCAGCTCCTAACTCGGGCGTAGCCGCGGAAGGGTTAACACCTGTTCCCTTTCGCCACTGGCTGCGCTTTCAAAGTTTTGTCTGTTTTTTTTTTTTAAAGCGGGGTGGGTGCACGTGAGGGGAGAGGCAATCGCCGAGGGGGAAGGGGACGCAGGAAAGCTGGCTTGCTGGACCCCGAGGCTTCCTCAAACTTTGTCCAAGTTTCCTGCCATCTCCTTCCCTGGCTTTGTCCCCCTCTTTTCCTTTTTAATGCCGGTCTACAAAATAAGTGTAAAACAAGTGGAATAGAAGAGGCGCTAAGAGCTGATCTCTTGTTTCTCTTGTAAGCCGGACAAGAAACAATGGATGGAAACTAACCAAGGAGGGAAGCAACCTGGAATTAAGGAGAAACTTCCGAACAGTGAGGCCAGCGGGACAGCTTGCCTTCAAGAAGTTGTTGAGGAGGGTTTTAAGAAAAGATTGGACAGCCACTTGTCTGAAATGGTATAGGGTCTCCTACTTGACTGGGTGGGGGCTGGACTAGAAGACCTCCAAGGTCCCTTCCAACTCTGTTCTGATTTAGTGGCCCCTCAAAAGTGGATCTTTTCCATAGGTGGGGGTCCTGCTTTTTCACTCCCTGCAGGAGGAAATCCTGAGAGCAGTATAATGTGCGTGTGTGTTTTACTCATTTGTTTCATTGGTTTCCCATTATCTAGTTTTAGGTCTTATGTGGAGAATAGATTGCATCATGTTTATACAGAAAAAAATACAAACTCCAGAGTTCACTAATATTTTAATCAACACTAGTTATTACAATTCCCCTTTCCAAATTATATTATTACAATTATATTATTAAAATTATATATTACAATTCCCCTTTCCAAATATTTCTACATGATAAATCCTTTATCAAATGTTTCTTTGTATGCTCTGGTCACAAGCTGAGGAACATGAATGCATTACAGCAGAGTACCAGATTTAAAAAAAAATGACAACCAGCCACCTCATACCCTCCTTGTTCCCAAGATCCTGCTAACAATTATTTTACAGATATTCCTTGGCTTACAACCTGAGTTGAGCCCAAAATTTTTGTTGCTAAGGTAGACATTTGTTGAGTGAGTTTTGCCCCATTTTACAAACTTTATTGCCACATTTGTTAAGTGAATCGCTTGTTAAGTTAGCAACACGGTTGTTAAGTCAGTCTGGCTTCCCCATTGACTTTGCTTGTCAGAAGGTCATAAAAGGTAATCACATGATCCCTGAATACTGCAACCATCATAAATATGAATCATTAGCCAAGCATCTGAATTTTGATCACATGACCATGGGTATGTTGCAATGGTTGTAAGTTTGGAAAATGATCATAAGTCAGTACTATTGAAACTTCCAATGGTCATTAAATGAACTGTTGTAAATGGAGAACTACTTGCATTTATTAGATTTTTATCCCCACCTTTATTACAAGTAACTCAGGCAACAAACTTAAATATGCTTTCCTTCTATTTTCTGGTCAACAACACACCTGTAAGCTGGATTGGGTTGAGGTAAAGTGACTGCCCCAAAGTCACCCAACCAGCTTTTGTGCCTAAGACAAGACTAGAACTCCCTGTCTCCTGGTTTCTAGGCCAGCACCTTAATCGCCTAACCACCTTACCAAATTGGCTTTGAAATAGAAAGCTTGCCCAGAATATTGTAGAAAAACAACGGCAGCAGCAGCAGTTCATGAGCTGTAAATGAAGCCATTTCATTTTAATGATTTACAGCCCTGATTTGTGAGGCAAGTAGTTTAACAGGGAAGTTGCAGGAAATGACGGTGTGTCTTCACAAGCCTTCCTTTCCCTCTGAAACCAGGGAGAAGGCATGATAGATGTTTGTATCCTGGTGGACATGTACATGATCAAAGATGCTTCATGGCAGAAGTTTATCCCAGTTTGGTATGTGGAATTGTAAGTGAGAGGTCCCCAGTTTCCCCATGTTAAGCAATAAATGAAGACAACTTTGCTGTGAAAGTTCACTCGTTTATTGTACAAATTCAGTGATATGTTCTGAGGGTACCCAGTGGAGGGATGGAGGGGCCATCTATGGCAGTGGTGGGATTCAAATATTTTTGCCACCGGTTCTGTGGATGCACGATCCCGGTTGCTTCAGCAGCTGCCTTGCAGCACTATTCTGTGCCGTGCAAAGCAGTTGCGCTTCAAATTCAGCGGATAAAGGTGAGTATGGGAGCCCAGGCGGGCGGGTGGGCCCAACAGCAAAGCAGCGGAGAGAACCGATTCTGTCTCCATTGCTCATCGCTGCTACCGGCTCACCAGAACCGGGCTGAACTGGTAGAATACCACTACTGACATATGGCCCATGGCCTGCGTATCCCTATGGTTAGCCATAACAATTGTTTACCAGCTGTAATGGATGGATTCCTACAACACCCTAAGCTCAAACCAGATACATTTAGCATGACATTTAGCTTCTTCCACAAACTCTTAATCAAAACAAGTTCTAGTGTGATGATTTGGGCTAAGCGTAGCTTGACAGGCGATAGTAACTCAATGAATGAGCCACACTGCTTCTGAACGACAAAATGGAAACTTGTCAGGACAACAGGCGGTGGCATTCTCCCCTTTCCCAAGCCAAACTTATTTATGGTTTGAAGCCCAGGAAGATAGCTGTTGCATGGCTTCCCTTTCCTCCTGTGAAATTATTCTGTTCTTTCCTCTTATGCAACCTCCTGAGAACTAGACTCACTTCTAGCATGTAAGGACATGCTAGAGTTTTTATTCAGGATGTTTTATTGTTTCTCTCCATGTTCACCTAAGGCATGTGGGAATACTGCCATCCTCTCACTACTCTAAACTGGAGAAATCCACTTCTTTCCAGGGAAAGGAAAACATAGCCATATCTGTAACACATATCTGTACGCAAGGATTGGATACAATCTGCCTTCTATCCCTTTTCCCTCTTTCTCTTTTATGGAAATGGGTTTCCAGTAGACAGATGCTGACAATGTCTACATCAGATGCACAAGAGAGTTGTTACCTTCAGCAACTTGGGTTCAAAGTATGAGATAAGAGCAGCAGACTGGCTTCTTAATAGGAAAGGAACCACGCCAGTCTACAGTAATCAGATCAAATCAAATCAAGTTTATTAATCAAAGATCAGAGACCAAAAATTGGGTTCTAGTGGTATCTTTTCTGATTAGCTTCTCGTGTGAACTGTTTCTCTATTGACTTTGCATAAAGTGAGCTTTGCCTCACCAAACTGCTTGTTAATAAAATTTGTTAGTCACACAAGTTGCTACCAGTTTTCCCTTTTGAAATAAAAGACAGTGTCCTTAAGGAAATCCTGTCTCCTTAATTCATAGTCAGGCTGTTCTTTTTGTATACAACATTCACAAAAACTTCCTGGTAAAGGACTGAATGTTGTCATTTAGAGAATACAGGCATTGTTATTCCAAGTTCAGTCCTGAGCATCTCTTGCTTCCTGGGTGGATACAAGAAGTCTCTGTTTTAGAATGTGGAAGAACTGTTATCAGTCAAATCAGTCATTATTTTATTGTCATAATCTCTTCATAAGAAGGTGAAATGACAGCTGCCAGTTCTTTAGTTTGTTTTGGACTTCATGTGCAATATTTCTTCCCAAGAATTTATGATGCAATGTATTAATGTAGTATATGTAGTAATGTAGTATATATCCAAGCAGTGTGGCCTTTTGCAGTTGAACAGGTGGAGATTTTTTTCAGTGCTCAGATTTTATAAGTGCCAGCCAAGATTTTTGGTATGCCACTCAGTGTGCCATGGCCAGTTCATGCCACAACCTTTCAATTTCAGTTTCTGATACTTTGTGATCTTTTCCAAGTCTTTGTCTTCTACTATCTCGTGGTATTGCCACATCAATTATCTACGTATTTTTCTTTTGAACCACATTAAATCTAGTGTGTTGTGAGTCAAGATGTTCTCAGTCTGTATCCAGAAATCCCACAATATTTTTACCTGCTTATTTTTGACTACCTTTACAACTTTATGTTCCCACTAATTTCTCTTTACTGGTAATATTTACATTTGTTCCAGTGAATCATTGGGTGACTGTGTTATGTCATTGTTTATAATCAGTTTGTGTGATCTTGCAGAAGCTGAGTATATAATTTACTTTTTTTTCTGCTTCTTTGCACAACCTGCACTTTGAATCATTTGATTCAGTTCTGGCTCTGATTGTATTAGTTTGAATAACTTGCTATTGAGCAGTCAAAATGTAAGCCTTCAGTTTCTTTTTTTAATATTCCATTAGTAAGCCATTGTCATATTTTATAGCACTTAGGAATAGCACTTAGACTAATTCCTAGCACTGTCAAACTCCTGGCCCACAGGCTAGATATGTCATGCACTGGCCAGGCCTATGCCCGGTTTAGTGAAGGGAAAAAGTCCTGTTATGTCTTGTGATGCCATCATGACATGAGTTTGAAACCTCTGACTTAGACTTATATACCGCCTCACAATGCTTTACAGCCCTCTCTAAGCAGTTTACAGAGTCAGCATAGTACCCCCAACAATCCGGGTCCTCATTTTACCAACCTTGGAAGGATGGAAGGCTGAATCAACCTTGAGCCTGGTGAGATTCGACCAGCCAAATTGCAGGCAGCTGGCAGGCAGCAGAAG